TGTACTCTTTTAAGGGATACAACTCAGTGGTTTGTAGTATGTTGTGCATTCATCACCACAATCGAATTCCAGAACATTTGCCTCACCCCAAAAAGAAGTCCCATGCTCAGTAGCAGTTACTCCCCATTCTGTCCTCTCCCCAGCCCCTGGCAGCCACTAATCTACTTTCTGTGTCTATGGATTTGTTTTTACTGGAGAGTTCATATCAAAGAATCATGCAGTATGTGGCCTTTTGTGTCTGGCTTCTTCTGCTTAAAATAATATTTTCAAAAGCTGTTCATTTTTAGCATCTATTAGTATTTTTTACAGCTGCATAATACTCCATTATACTATGTACAGCATTTTGTTTATTCATGGTTGATCAACATTTGGGTTGTTTCCACTTTTTGGCTATTAGGAACTATGTTGCTAACGAACATTTATGTACAAGTTTTTGTGTGAACAGCTGTTTTCAGTTCTCCTGGGTATATACCCAAGAATGGAATTGCTTGTTCATTGTGTTAACTCTGTTTACATGTTTAGCTTGTTGAGGAACTGCCCATTTGTTTTCCAAAGCAGCTGCACCATTTTTACATTCTACCAGCAGTATATGAGAGTTCCAGCTTCTTTGCATCCTTATCAGCACTTGTTACATTGTGTTTTTTATTGTACCTGTCCTTGTGGGTGTGAAGTGATATTTCATTGTAGTTTTGATTTACGTTTCTCTAATGACTAATAATGTTAGCATCGTGTACTTACTGGCCATTTGTAAATCTTCTTTGGAGAAATAATTTACTCAAATCCTGAGCCTGTTTTTAAATTGAGTTGTTTGTCTTTTTATTGTGGAATTACAAGAGTTCTTTATGTATTCCAGATACTAGAACACGTGTCAAATTTATGATTTACAAGTTTTGTCTTCTGCTGTGGATTGTATTTTCACTTTCTTGATAGTGTCCTTTGGAGAAGAGTTTTATAGTTTCATTTTTTACATATTGGTCTTTGATCCATTTTGAGTTAATTTTTCTATGCGGCGTGAGGCAGGCATCCATTTTGATTCTGTGTGGTTATCCAGTTATCCCAACACTATTTTTTGAAAAGACTATTCTTTCCCTGCTGAATTGCTAGAGGCATGTTTGTTAAAAACCAGTTGACTAATGATGTAAGGGTTTATTTCTCGACTGTCTTTTCCTGTCCATTGATCTGTATATCTGTTCTTAAGCCATTGTCACACAGTCTTGGTCACTATAGCTTTGTGGTAAGTTCTGAGATCAATAGTGCACATCCAACAACTTTGTTCTTTTTCAATATCATTTTGGCTATTTGAGGTCCCTTGCATTTCCGTATAAATTTTAGGATCAACTTGTTACTTTCTACATAGAGGCAGCTTGGATTTTGATAGGGATTGCTCGAATCTGTATATCAATTTGGGAATATTGCCATTTTATGGCATCTTTATGATAGGCTAGTATGTCTTTTAACCTATAGGTTCTTCCTCCTTTTTAAATGTATGTTTTGTTCCCTTTGAATTTTTTGTGTGACGAAACTGAATCTTTATCCTGTTGAGTTTTCTATGCTCTAGATTTTGCTGATATCCCCCCCATGGTGTTCCTTTATACCCTGTAGTTCCTGTAAATTGGTAATTAGATCTAGAACTTGATCAGTTCATGTTGATTTTTTTGGCAAGGATATGTTGTATGTTTTGTATTTCCTGTTATCATCATTATTATTTTAATTAATGTACTCTGTTCATTGCTGTAGTTCACTTGTTATTGTACTTTGGGAATCATTGCATATCTGTACATGAAGAGCTGCTTCATTCTTTTTTAAGGCTATGTAGTATTCCATTATATGGTTGTACCATATTATATTTATACCATTTTTTATTGATGAGCATTTAAATTGTTTCCATTCTTTCTCTATTATGTTTCATTGAGTAACTCTGTAAGTGCATCATTTTTCACATTTACTATGTACCGGGTTAAATGCTTAGAAATCAAATGATTAGGTCAGAGAGGATATACATTTATATATACTTTAGATAAATACTGTCAAATTGCCCTGCAAAGAAGTTATTTCAGTTTACTTTCCCATCAGAATGTACACACACACAAATATAAAACTTCATAGAAATATTAAACATTTCAACTAGTTAACTAGTAGCCCTGTATCTGGTGCTTACGCCCTTGTAGGAACTGTATGAATTGATCACTAGAAAGGAAAACTTGCGTGGCTTCTTTAAACTATCGTAGGCAGACACTTGTATTTCAAAAAAGAGCCATCTTTTTGTCATTCTAAACCCCTTTTCCTACTCTGCCATTCTTTCAGCTGAAGCTGGGTAGGAAATACTCTTTTGTTAGATGCTAAGGCCCCACAAGAAGAGTATCCCCTCAACCTGCCTCAAAGTCTTGTCCTCAGCCGTAGAAAGCGTTGTCTCTTTACTTCCCCAGAAGATAGCTCTATGATTCTAATGGAGATTCAGACTTCCCCCACTGGAGGCCCTGGACTTAAACTCTGAGCAGAACCAATGAATGCACAAGTTGGTCCCATTTACTCTCAAGTCATGCATCTGTCTGAATCCCAAGAACGTTCTGTATCAGTAATTTTCAGTGTTGATTTGGTATAACAATGTGGTCCTGCAAATGTAGAAGTTGGCAGGAAACTTCACCAAATGGGTGAGATCAGAGGGCGCCATTTTTTCTCTTTGGACAGCTAACTGCTTTTGGAATGAAATTTGTCAGAGTTACAGTCTCTTTTCTTTCTTGAAGCCTCCTAGATGCCATAGTGGTCCAGATTCCTTGATTGCATATCTTGCTGGCTTCCATCCTTCCCTTAGGCCAGCTCTCATCCTGTATAGGTACCCTGAACTTGATCCTTCTTTTCTATCTAAGATAGACTCTAAAACTCAATTCATCATAGAAATATCTAATAAAATGGCATGTCACTGAACAGCTTCACATAAGTACTTCATTCTAAGTAACTGATTCATACTCTTTTTTTAAGTTTTTTTTAAACAGCCACATTTTTCTCACAGAATACTGAAAATATGATTGTATATGTGAAAATAATAATACAATGAATGGTTCAGATAATGAATGGTATACAGTTTTATGTTGTATCCCAAATTTTCAAATCCCCCTGCCCCTCCATCCCGTTAACAGTTTGCAGTGAAACTCTGTAAAGTGTCTTTAATACATTTTCCTGTGTTCTGTGAATACTGGCCTGCTGAGCACCAGGCTGTGTGCTATATGCCCAGGGGAGGGAATGGTAAAGAGGGACTCCCTGCCCTCAAGAGACTTGCAGTTAGAGGAGGATGCAGGCAAGCAGTCCCTGTCATCATTAGGACTGTCCAGTCATATACAGCCTTCCTGTCTGTAAAACAGGGGTGCCCTGGGGTTACAGAGCTTTGTGAGATTGTCTGTCCCTAATGTAAATGGCCTAAGGTGCTGTTTGAATGTTTGCATTTGCCTTTCTAGAAAATTGTCTGAGTAGGGAGTATATGTACATAATAGAAAATTCAAAAGGTCCAAAAGAGTTCAGAGTAAAAAGTTACATCTTCCCTGTTCCCCAGCCACTCAATTGCTGTCCCTAGAGTAGCCACTGTTAACCATTTTTATGTGTAGTTTCAGACATAATCATGCATATACATGGGCAAGCCCCCTACCCCAAATTATAACTTTTACACACATTTGTTTCTTTCATTTAGCACAGTATCTTGGAGATCATTCAATACCAGTACACAGAGATGCTTTACTCTTCTTAATGGCTGGGTAGTAGTCTGTTATCCTGGCCCCCAGTAGCCCATTAGTATCAGGCTGAACAGTAGCCCATTACTCTCGTATTAATGAATCTTTTGGTTGCTACAATCAACAATGGTACAGTGAATGTTCTCTTATGAACATCACTGAAGGTTGAAGGATGTTGCTGAATTACCCTCCAGTTGTCAGGTATCATGTCATCTCCTACAGATATAAAGAACCTGTTCCCCATACCCTTCTTCTTTATATATTCATTCTATGTCTAAAAGTTGTTTGTTTTCTGCCAACTGTTCATGTCTTCTGTCCCCTTTTCTATTCAGTTTTGTAGCTTTGGAAGATCGGTTAGTTGATAGCATAAAGAATTACCTTCTGTGGCATTTGTTGCAAATACTTGCCTCTGATTTCTGGTAGCCTTGTTATTTTCCATCTGTGCAGTCATCATTAGCTCTCTTCTCACTTTTCTACTTCTTCATGATTTAACATTGCATGTCTTTAGCAGTTTCTTTTCCTTTATTAGAACTTATTAGAACTTGTAAAATGAGTAAATACCCTGAACTCCTGGACTCTATGTTTGAATCTCTTTTTGCTTCTCAGTGTTGTGTTTTACTTACTCTTGATTTCATATACTTGGAACCATGTATCCTTTTCACATTTATGTCAAGTGTTAGTTGGGGTTTATTAGGGCAAAATTCTCAAAGGTAATGTACGTGTCAGCCTGAGACAGTGAGGCTTGAACTCCAGCCCTTATTCTGAGGTGAGCTCTGGTATCATTCCAGTGCATTTTCTTTTGATTCAGATTCTTTACAGTCTATAACGTTTTATACTCTAAGGGACCTTCAACCCTAGCCAAGTCATTTGATCTCCCTTGTCAGTCAAATGGGGGATAGATAATATCAGGTTGTGGTAATGATTAGTTGAGGCTGGAAACATTGAGAGGGAAGAAGAAGGGTATGATTGAAGTCTTTAACTTTTCCTTTGATCTTTAAGCCCTGTATTTTCTAGACTGAAGCTTCTGTCACTGAGGTTCTGTAGTAACTGTGGGTTTCACTGGGTGACATTCTGCATGGTCTTAAAATGTTCTCTGATTGTGGCATCGGTTTTCTCAATTGTGAAAAAGGAACCCGTTTGTAAGATGAGGCTGAAAATAGTGTTGCCTGCTTAGGGTTTTGAGGCTTCCATGGTAAATTAAAGCCTTCGGTACGGTACCCAGCCCATGGAAAGTACACTCTCCACTTTGATGACGTGACAGTCCTTCCTTTTTTGCAGAAGCCGCATCCTGTGTGTCCCTTGGAAGCACGTCCTTGAGCGGTCCCTCCATCCACTGCCCCTCGGCTGCAGTTTGTGTCGGCATCCTCCCAGGTTTGGGCGCCTACTCTGGGAGCAGCGACTCTGAGTCCAGCTCAGACAGCGAAGGCACTATCAACGCCACCGGCAAGATCGTTTCCTCCATCTTCCGAACCAACACCTTCCTTGAGGCCCCCTAGCTCCTGTGTCCTCACCACAGGGTACTCCTCCCTAAGAGTAGACAGGACGGGTTGCTCTGCCCGTAGGCATTACCTCCCTCAGAAAACTCCTTGCCTGCTTCCTGTGCACACTGTGACGTTTTTAACCTCATCTAAAAATGTGCCAGAATCCACTTGTGGCCCGACTTGTGTTTGGTTTCTTTCCACTCCAGTGTTGATGCCCAAACCTGATCTGCTGCCTCTTTGCTCATGGATGTTGTGAGGTGGGGCTCAGGGCCCAGTGAAATTCCATCAAAATGCCCTGGGACAACTGGCACCAGCTGGTGTGCAAAGGGTTTGGACAGCTCTTGTTTCTTCTTTTTCCCAGTAGCACAATGAAGCAGGGGCAGCTGTTGGATAGGTATTATTTAAACACTGTCTAGATTGCCGTGCTGTTGTTACTGCATCGTGGGGCATGCGATGGGGGAGAATTGACCCAGGCGATAAAATGGTGCACTCCCCTGGAGCCAACCAATTCTTGATGTGTGTCTAAGTAAAGATGATAAACTACATCTGCAGGGGCATCACTTCACACTCATCATTCATTGTGGAGTTTTTCCTTACTTTTAGCTATTCCTTCTCCTCCCTCCATCCTAGCCCATTTAAGACTCAACCTTAGAGAAACAAACATAGACCTTATTTCATCATGGCCAGAAATCGGACATGCGGGTTGTTATGTGGACTAAATGATTTATTTCTGGCAATCCCCGGAATCCTAATATTGCACACCAGGGGGATGCATATGCATATTTCTGACCCTAGTGTGCACTCTGTTGCGGCCCTGGCTGTTTGATAGATTTCTAGTTGTGGCTTCTAACTGTGGAATCTATTTCTAGCCTAAAGGTGCTGCCTTTGTTCTTTTCTCCTCTTTTATCTGCTGCCCCTCCTGCTTTGCCCTGTCCACACAGAGCAGTGCTGGGGCTGTGAGAGGCCGAGGCTTTGAGGTACTGCTCCACTTCTGTCTTATAAGGGGAGGCAGGGGCCCAACAGAGGGAGACAAAGTATGGGGGCCTCAAGGACAGAGGGAGGCGTGGGCCTTTTAAAAATCTGTAGGTGCCCTGCTTCAGGAGAATGAGCCTCTACAGTTCTCTCCGGCTGGGTTCCTACTTCAGTTGTTTCTACTTCCTTGGGTGTGAGACGGAGAGAGACTCACACACAATGTGTTGACACCGTGATGCTGGCAGGCAGAGAAACTACTCAGCTTTAATGTGGCAGAGAGGCCCCTGGCGCTCATCCAACCCCCTCCTCCCCTTCCAGTGCAGTGACACTCTGGTGCCCGTGGGCAGATGGTGACTTCCCTTTACCCATAACTGGTGCCTTGTGTAGTCTTCCTCCTCTTCAGAGTCACTCTGTGCTAATCGTTCCTGACTGTCAGCACAGGCGCATCAGCTCCATCCTAACAAACAAGACATTTAGGTAAAACTGTGTAGGCACCTTATGCTTCTCTGCTTCATTGTTCCTGCAGTTGTGCTGTCATTATTACAGCACGTACTCAGAGCAACCTCAAATCATTTCAGGAGGCAGACCGAGGAATCAAAGCCACCGTTCTTATGTGGTTTGACTTTTAAGAGGCCATTACTGTACCCTATGGCCTTCGTTAATACTGGAAGAAGTTGACAAAGAGTTACAGGGATTAAAGACATACATTAACTTGAAAGCTAATAAACTTGTCAGAGAACAAGATCTTGCTTTTCCTATACTGAATCTTGTGCTCCCAGCTCCCTCTCCATCTACCATAATGGCTACATTGTGTCAAGAAGGTGGAGGCTCATCAGACTGAGATTTCTGCTGTTGGTGTCTCAGGAAATATTGAGAATCACCAATGAGCATGAGATTCCTTTGTAACCATAATGTGGAGCCCTGGAACTGAGACACGGTATTGTAGAAACCATGAATAGCAAACTAGGACCTGGTTTGCCCAAGAGAGGAAGCAACTAAGTAGCATCCTATGTAGGCTGTGGGGATCAAACCCAAAGAATAGAAAATCAGGGCTGAAGGAACACTGCTTTAGAAAGTGCACCACTCCTGCTTAATAAATAATTGGGATTTTATAAGAAAGTAAAAAGGGATTTTAAAAAGTTTAGGGTGTGTTTCTTGAAACCTAAATTGTCCTGAGTGGTAGTGTTCTTATAACTCTTGAACTATGCAAGGGAGAAGCCTTGTCTGTGAGGAATCCTATTGCCAGCTCTACTGTATCATCTAGTTTGTGCCACACTATAACCTCTTAATCACCTCTGCCAGCTGTCTTCTTTGGCTCTGTCACCCACCTGGGTGGGAGGAAAGGGAGCGTGAAATTCAAAACATCCATTTTTCATCTACAAAAAGCAGGGGGCTGATATGACTGGACCCAAAGAGGTGGCTGGCGGCGTGTTTATGTATGCCTTCCCTGGTCCCAGAACCCAGGAGAAAGAAAACTGCCTTCCCAAATCCAGAGTTGGTGGGGGAGGCCTCCAGCTTTTTTCTGGAGTATTCCAGACTGAAAGTCAAGCCCCTAACTACGGGAGACCTAGGCTAGCCCTTTGCATCCTCATTTCTTTCACTCTCCACCTCAAGGGTTCTTCCCTTCTGACTACCTCCTTTTCACCCAAGACAAGCTTCATTTGCCTAAGATTTTCCCCACTTCCACTTCTGCCCCCTGGGAACCCAGCCTAGTTCTACCTTCCTGTGATGTACCACAGTAGTTAGGAGCTTGGAACCCAACATTTACTAGCTGGGTCACTTGGGTAAGGTCCTTCACCTTCCTGGGCCTCAGTTTCCTCCTTTCATAAGTAGGAATAATGACACCAACTTCTTAGTAGGGCGGAAGAATCTAGATTAGGTACTTGGTTTGGTGTGGTATCTGACACAATGCTCAGAAAAGCTGCCGTCCTCATCAGTACCGTTACCATTAGCCTCTCCCATTTCTGGTGGGGTATCCAGAACTTCTGTTAGTGATGATTTCTGGCAGGTTTTTTCCATCCTACCAGCATTCCTCAGTTGCAGCTAGAACATTGACACAGGGAAGGGTCAGATCTGGTCGTCAGAGCTCCAACCACCCGCTTCTGCTGTGCTTCCCTCTTAGCTAAATGTTAATTGCTTAGGCACACCCAGTTCCTTGGCTCAGGCGTCCTGGCCGTGGGTATATGGCTCAGCTGTCATCTTAGGCCCCTTCAGGAAAGCAGAAAGGAGAGCTCAGTGGCAATGCACCCTCATTTGGACTTGGGTATCGCCTTGGTTTCCTGGTGTGCCGGCCCACTTACATATAACAGTGGAATGCAAGTTCTGCTTGGTGGGAGGCTAGACTCTTGCCAACACTTTCATAGTCACAGGTTGAACACACAAGCCAGTTACACATTCATGCCTCAGTGGCCCTGACAAAGCCTGGTGTTTTGCTCCCTCCCCTGCTGGAGGAACAGTTTAGGGAGAGGGTGTCAGCAGCAGTAACAGGCAGACTGTGGCCCCAGCTTTGCAGAGGAGATGGGCAGCAAAACTCAGAGATAACCGTCACCCTCAGCTTCAGGCTGCTGGTTGGTCCTTGTCCTTCCTATTTTAGTAGTAGGCGTGTCATCTTGTTTCATTCAGTGTATCCTAAGGGGCTACTATATATGTACCAGGTACTGTTTGGGGCATTAGTGGACCATTTTGGTGGACTGAAGTGTCTTTCATCCTAAAAAAAAAAGTCCTGTGAAGCAGCCCTTCTCTATATTTTATAGAGGAAACTGAAATTCATAGTGGTTCAGTGAGTTGCTTGAGGTCACACAGCTAGATGACAGAACCAGAATTTTAATTTGCTCTTTTATGTTTGGCTTTCTGTGGTTTCAGTGAAACTCATAAACAAATGCTAACACCCAGGCCTCAGTAGCAGCAATTCAAGGGTGAAGGAATCGTTTAGATTTCCATCTTCACTCTCCAGCCTGCTATCCACACACAAGAATCAGGTAGCAGCACCAAGGCTTGTTTGGTTCAGTTTTATTGAGAAAGAACTGACACATGAGTTCCAGGGTACAGCAGTTATTTAGTGTTTGTATGTAATGAAATGATCCATTGCCACACAGAGTTAACAAAAGCTTTTTTCCCCCTTTGTGAATGGGAGTTTTTAAGATCTACTCCCTTGGCAAGTTTCAAATATACAGTATGGCATTATTAACTATAGTCACCACGCTATACATTACCTCCCATGGATTTACTTTATTTTGGTTTGTTATTTCAAAGTGGTGATTTGGCCTGGTCAGGAGTTCAGGTGCCTTTGCTTTCTTGTAAACTCAGGCCAGCTGGGAGTAGAAGCCTTGCTTGACTGATCCGCCTAACCTGAACAGAAAGGGGGAAGCAAGCAGGGATGGCTGGGTCTGCTCACATGAAGCCTGGAAGTGGGGCCACAGCCACCACCCTTGAGGGTTTGAGCATTTTGAATGGACCCTGATGCAAAGGCAGGAACTCCACCTTAACATGGCCTAGTACACATCAGTCTCCTCAGGTTCACCAATGTGTTCAGTTACTCCGGTGAGGAGGTGTAAGGGAGAGGTCTGTGTGTGAAGTGGTCACCCCATTACACCTGAGGGCTAAGGAGGGGACATGGAGCTGGGGGGAGAAGGCTGCTCCCCTGTCCTCTGGTCAGTCAGAAGTTGACAGATTCTCCCAGGCTGGGGTGGGTACAAACTTAACTGGATGTGACATACAGCTAGACTATTAAATGGGTACGGTTTTATGTTGTTGTTTTGACTGACAGCCAGTCTTGCAAGGGCCTAAGCAAAGACTAGGCATAAACCAAAGGAGCCAGAAATGTTAGTCCTGGGATATTCACATTGCTGGTTGGCCTCAGGGTCCCTGTGCTACAATTTCCTAAAGGTCCTTGGGGAAATCAGGGCTTCATGCAGCCCTGCAGCCCTCTCAGAAGTGAAGGTGTTCCTAACGGGTATTTTAGCCCACTTTTGGTGGCCATAGAATCAGCAGAGGCACTGGAGGCTTAGGATGAAGGTATTCCTCACAGGCTCACACCAGATAGGCACCAGCAGGCCATACTAAGAATTACTCACTTGGGAGAGTAGAATGAGGTAACTGACCTCCCAGTTTTGGTGGAGAGGAAGGACATACTGATTAGCAACTTGAACAGAAGACTCCCTTGCAGAGTTGAGGGAAATTGTTTATGCAGTGGAACAAGTGTGGGCTCATGAGTCAACCAGGTCTGGCTATGAGTTCAGGCTATGCCTCTGACGGATTCGATAGGCTTTTCTGCTTGTTTTCTCATCCTTGAGTTGGTCATAGGCAGAAGCTATTAGAAGGACTCATCAAAATTATGCCTGCAAAGCATTTAACATGGAGCTGAAAACACAGTGCTTAGTATCAATGTTAGTTGTTATTGGTTACATATAAGCCTGTGGCGGAGGCGCTGACTGGACCTCCAAGGGAGGTGGAAAAGAAAGAGATGTCTTATGTGGAGGAGACGAAGACAGCTGGGGTTTCAGAAATTGGTCCCTTGACTGCTTTCATGAAGTTGGGCCTGAGCTGAGTGGGGCATGCCCTAGAAGCCAGTGGCTGCTGTCAGCAGGACAGAAGCAGCTCTCTTTAGCATTTTGAGGCTAAAAACATTCACATGCTGCAGACCACAGGACTGTACCCCAGTGCCTAAGACCTGAAGGAGCAGCAAATGGGTGGCAACAACTGCTGTCCTGTATGTCTAACAACAAAATGTAGACTAAGGAAGAATGAGGGGCACCATATGGTAGCAGCTGGACCCAAGTGCCCAAACACAGGTGTAAACTCTCCAGTGCCACTGTTGCAAGTGGGAGTCAGTGCATCCTAGCCATCCACAAATATGTAATGAGCCTGTACGATGTTCCAAGTTCTGTGCCAGTTTAACAGAGGTGTTACTGTTTGTGGAATGCATGTCCCCAAGTGGAAGGTTGCCCTGGCTTCACAGGCTTTCTAGGGGAAAGGAGCTTTCTGGCTTCCTGTCTCCTTTCCCAGATCAGTGAGCCCATCAGGTCTCCGGGGAGGAAGGAGCTGACACAGGGACATCTGAAACTCCTTTATTACCCTGAGTATAATAAATAGAACACAGTCACAGTATTAAAAAAACAGCAGGAATTAGGTGCAGGCTACAACACAAAATTTGTACCAGGGATATGTTCCTTTCAGAGTCTGCAGCTGGTTACTTGGAAAAAGCCAGTTAATGATTATAAAAATTTTATTCTCTTTAATAACAATAATAATTCCACTAAAGTTATACAAAGTACATTCAATACTTAAGAGTGAGAAGGGTGGGGAGAGCTGGAGAAGAAGCCAGTTTGGCCTGGAAGCATCATCAGTTGAATCCAACAAAGGAAGCCCAGCTGGGCTGAGGGAAGTTGGGGGTGGAGGTCTGGTTGTAAAAAGAAAAAAAAAAACCAGGCCACCCACAAGGAAGCAAGACGAGTGTGCACGTTCCTGGGGGAGGGCGGGAGGCCCAGCCGGCATGCAGCTGCTGGGCACGGGCTGGCACTCAGGCGGGCTCCGAGTTGGTGGGCGGCAGGTTCTTATGCTTGAAATACTGCACAACTTGCTGTGGCAGCTCTGCCAGCACAGCTTTGGCCAAGGTCTCCTTTGCTGCCTGCAGGGTCGACAGTGGGGTGGAGAAGGAAGAGTAAGGATTACCAAGTCTAAGTTGTGAGGGGCGCTACCTAAGAGCTGCTCCAGGTGGTGTCCCTGGAGGCCACAATCAGGGCTGA